GGTGTGTGTGTGTGTGTGTGTGTGTGTGTGTGTGTGTGTGTGTGTGTGTGTGTGTGTTAGAAAGGTGGTGAAACAGAGCGACGTTTGAAACAAAGGAGCAAGAAGTGAGGCGACACGGGCGCAAAGATAGAGATCCACACAGAGATTCAGATAGACTGACAGGCACAGGCGCAGACACACAGACACACACAGACACACACAGACACACACACAGACACAGACACACACACACACACAGACACGGCGCTTACTTGTTCGTCGGAGGAGAGCGGGTGGAAGCGGATATCAATGGCGTGGAGGTGGAGGGTGAGCGTGTCGTATTGTGCAGCGGCGTGTGTGTATTTGCCGCCCTGCAGTGGTGATGCGAGCACGTGCGCCACCTCCAGCCCGCTGGCCAGCCGTCGCATCCCCGCCGCCTCTGCCGAGGCCGCAGAGGTGTCCAACGCACTCTGCCGCGTGCAAGGCGAAGGGAGGGGGTGAGCAAATGCATGCAGTATGATTTACACTGGCATACACATGCACACAAATGCGCGCACACACATGCATACACATGTGCATGCACATGTACACACACACACATGCATGCATGCACACACAGAGGGAATACGCACAACAGCGTCCTCGTCATTGTGGGCGTGAGCGTTCTCGACGCGAACGCGAGCGAGGGTGGAATCAAATGGGCTGTGCAGCAGCATGTTGTACAGGTCTGAGGCGAGCGGGGATGATAGCGAATCGGCAAACGCAATCCAGCCGTCGCCTCGCTTCGCCTACAGCAGCGAACAAAGGCAAAGACAGGGAGAGAGAGACAGAGAGAGGGGAGAAAGAGGTGGGGAGGGGATGGCATGACAATGAGGTGCGTGGTGTGTGTGAAGACCAGAAAAACGCACAGGCACACACCACACACATACACATACACACACCCAACACACCGGTACACACACACACACACACAAACACACACACACACACACGCACACACACACACACACACACACACACACACACACACACACACACACGCACACGCACACGCACCGAAGCGAGTCGTGCAACGGCGTGTTGTAAGACAGCGCGAGGAACGAGAGCTGGCCCTGGTGTGTACAACTGCGAGAATAGCGGAAACAGGTCCACACCACCACCAGTGTCTGTGTGCCTTGCGCGACCACGGCTGCTCGCTACTTCATCCCACCGCTCTCGAACCCGCCGCAGCAGCGAGTGCACGGACGGGGCCACGGCACTGCCGCCACCACCACCACCTTCCTCGCCCTCTTCATCGCTGTGGAGCAGCTCTTCCTCTCCTTCCTCGGCTCTGTCGTCCCGATCGCCGTCATGCCGTCTGCGCCGCAGCGCTTTCGCAGGCGCCAGGCGGGTGCTTGCAGGCACAAAAGTCGTGGCGACCGCATCTGCCTCATCGCCCCACAGACCAATGTGCGCATCCAATCCAGCCAGAAACTCGTGCACGGTTGGCTTCGAGGATGGTCCAGCGTTGTCACCATCACCGCCTCCGCTGTCGCCCTGATGTTCTTCGTCCTGGTCTTCGCCTTCGTCTTCCTCCAACAGCGTATCTGCGTCGGTGTCGCGACCTCTTCGCTGCTGCCTCCCTCTCCTGTGCCTGCTGGAAAATGATGTTTCCTCCACGCCATCAGCAGCAGCCACAGGCGAGATGAACGACTCAGTGCTTGCCAGCGCGCGCTGCGACAGAGGCTTCGCCTGCTGCTGCGTGCTGCTCCCTTGCGCCTGTGCTGAGCGGGAAGCCAGGGTCCGCCACCCACTGCCGCCGCGAGTCCTCCTTCGTCGCGGCCGGGAGTCCCCGATGGAGAACGAGTGCATGGCCGCGGCTGTGGGTGCCTTGATACCGCCGCTGCTGCCGCGGCCGCCAGCCACGGGCCGCAGTTGAGGTGTAGTGCTGTGCCCGAGTGAAGAGCTGGCGGCACTGCGTGGGTTGCCAAACACGCTGCCAGTGCTGCTGCTTGCTGAGCTTGTGCTGAGCTGGCTGCGCATGCGTCGTCGCTGCATCCGTGATGGAACGGCGCTGGCCGTTGCTGCGCCACTCGCCTGTGCGCCCTGCCTCCTCAGGCCCGTTTGCGTGTCTCTGCCGGCGGAAGCGGCGGTGAGATCGCTTCCCGACGCCTCGCTCCCAAACAAGCTGCCATTACCACCTCTGTCCCTCATCCTGGCAGCGCGCCGCCGCCTCGATGCCCTTGTACCTTCCGCTCTCCCCGGTGACGTGCGCCGTGCACCATCGTCGTTGTGGTCGTCGTCGCCATCATCGTTGCCATCATCATCATCATCATCATCTTCGAGGTCAGTCGTCGTGGTGTGCGGGCGAGTCCGCCGTGGCCTCGTCGCCTGGAGTTGCTCGACGGCGGCATTGTGTCGTTCAGTCAGCGTCGCTTGAAGGGATGCCACCTCCCCTTCCTGCTGCTGCGGCTGCTGCATCCGAGTCGTGCGTTCGATGCCTTGACGCACACACCACACGCCCACGTTGTCTGTTTGTTGGCTGTTGTGTGGCGTCGTTGTTGTCGGGCTGCTGGGAAAATTTGGTCCTCATTTGCTTCGGTGTTGGGTGGCTGTCTCGCTGTGTTGGGTTTGACTCGGTGACAGGATGAGTTGCAGTTTCCGACCCCTCTGCGTGAGCCGCGGGCCAGCGTGCACTACGCCCTTGCGCGCCAGTTCCTCTCCTCGCTCTTCCCGTTCAACATTGTCAAGGCCAAAGGCGACGACGTTTCGCTGTCTGAGCTGCAG